CATTTACGCGCGCGCGCGCAGAAAGAGAGAGAGAGAATGAGAGAGAGAGAGAGAGAGAGAGAGAGAGAGAGAGAGAGAGAGAGAGAGAGAGAAAAAGAGAGAGAGAGAGAGCCAGCGAGATAGTGGGTGAGTGGGGTGAGAGACGTCTCCCCATTGACCGAAACCCGTGTATCACTGCCATCATTATCTCATTTGTTGCTGACTAGACTGTAATGCATCGTTTAGGGGCAATGCAGTGGGAGACAACGTTATTACCCGCATCATTGCGACGTTAGACTAGCCTCGTTATAAGCCGAGGCCAACGACTTGTTCAGTGTGTAATTACAACCAGATATACCTGCATGTCGCACTCACTTAGCTTTTGTCACCGTGGATATATTTAGACAAACACTCACGACACCTCGACGGAAGAGCATATGTGAAGCGGTGCGAGCGTTGTTTCCGCCATTACCGTACGGCGGTGAAGTGACGGCATCTCAGGAAATTATCTCGTCGAAGGCGTGACCCTGCAATTATTTGCTGCGCTCGTATCGCGAGACACGAGCTAATGTAAAACCAACCGCTCACGCGCAGAATTCGATCAGAACAGTTACTGCGTGCGAACCGTTCTGCCGAAAATTCGGTCTCGCGTAGCGGGCGCTGGAAGCATGGCGTCGGGGCGAAACGCATCGTACGGTTTCTACTTGAGCAACGTCTCCGAGATGGAATCACTCGACGCGGCGAACGGCAGCGGTGCCGACGACGGCGGCGGCGGTGTGAATCCACCGTACGGCGTGCACATCTACGAGTTGTTTGACGGCCTGCCGGCTCCGGCCAAGCTGGTGATGCTCGCCGGCGCCGCTCTCTCCATCTTCTGCCTCGCGGCGACGCTCTGCACGTTCGCGCTCTTCGAGCAGCTGCAGACGCTGCCAGGCAAGATGATTACGTGCTTCGTGTGCAGCTTCGCCGTGTCGCAGACGCTCACCACCGTCGGCATGCATCGCTTTGCCGACGACGTCGTCTGTTTTGGCGTCGCCGTCGCCGCCCACTACTCGACGCTGGCCGTCTTTCTGTGGTCGAACGCCATCGCCGTCGACATGGCGACGTGCTTCGGCGGTTCTCTACTGCGCATGATCCGCCATACGATGGACGACGCGCGCCGCTTCCGGTGGTTCTGCACGTACGCGTGGGGCCTGCCGACGCTCGTCTGCGGCGCATGCGCGATGACGGCGCTGCGGTACCCGCATCTCGGCGTCGCCTACGGAGGCGACGACTTCTGCTTGATCTCCGGATGGAAAGGCACCGAGTTTGCGCTGGCGCTGCCGGAACTCGTCGTCGTCGTCGTCAATGGCGCCCTGTTTGTTGTCGTCGTCGTCAAGATGGCTCGCAGCCGACGCAGTCACGGCGCCGGCGGCGGCGGCGGCGGCGGCGGCGGCGGCGGCGGCGGCGGCGCCGACCGACGCTGGCAGCACTTTGTCTATTACGTGAAGATATCCACGCTGCTCTCGTTTACGTGGCTCTTCGCGTTCCTGTCGGCGTTCACGGGCCAGGTGGCGCTGTGGTACATCTTCACAGTTGTCGACGCTCTCAGTGGCATCTACATATTCGCCGTCTTCGTGCTCAACAAGCGAGTGCGCGCCATGTACAGAAGCCGCTTTTCGAAGTTACGACCACAGAGCTGCGGTTTCGCCGTCACCGCCGCCAGCAGCGGCGTCGGCGTCGGCGTCGGTGTCGGCGTCGGCGTCAGCGTCAGCGTCAGCGGCAGCGGAGCGCCGCGTAGGCAGTGGAACCGATGCGAAATCAATCGGCAGCCAGCTTTGCATTCTACTGATATCATAGTAACGCGCTTCTAAAATAAGCTATTGTTGTTTTTATCAGTCACGGCGTGCGTGGATATATTGTCATTATATATATATAAATAT